GGGACGTCATTCTCCCCCTGTACTTGGCCTTAGTGAGGCCGCAGCTGGAGTACTGTGTCCAGTTTTGGGCTCCACAATTCAAAAAGGATGTGGAGAAGCTTGAGAGAGTCCAGAGAAGAGCCACGCGCATGATCAGAGGTCAGGGAAGCAGACCCTATGATGACAGGCTGAGAGCCCTGGGGCTCTTTAGCCTGGAAAAGCGCAGGCTCAGGGGTGATCTGATGGCCACCTACAAGTTTATCAGGGGTGACCACCAGCATCTGGGGGAACGTTTGTTCACCAGAGCACCCCAAGGGATGACGAGGTCGAATGGTCACAAACTACTACAAGACCGTTTCAGGCTGGACATAAGGAAGAATTTCTTTACTGTCCGAGCCCCCAAGGTCTGGAACAGCCTGCCACCGGAGGTGGTTCAAGCGCCCGCATTGAACACCTTCAAGAGCAAACTGGAAGCTCATCTTGCTGGGATCCTATGAACCCGGCTGACTTCCTGCCCTTTGGGCAGGGGGCTGGACTCGATGATCTTCCGAGGTCCCTTCCAGCCCTAATGTCTATGAAAATCTATGAAATCTATGAAATGGAGGAAGAGGAGCTGCAGCAGATAGAGGAGACCATTCAAGTTGAATCCTCTCTGGTATTTGGGAAGCCTATTGGCTTCATCCATGGACAGTGAACAATTAAGGTAACTTTTCTAGTGGTACAGCAAGAATGGGAGCTGTGGTGGAGTGGGATCATCTGGGGTCTCTGGACAGAGCTGTTCCCATGTTAGAGTAGGTTCAGCATGAAGGTCCACAGGGCTCTGTCCAACTCTCTACTTGCTTGTAACCAGACCTTTTCAATGTTGCAACACAGTGTGCCAGTGATTCTGAGCTTCCATACAATTACACTGCCACCATGATACTTGCTTCCTTTCCATCCCCAGATCAATCTACACAACCATAGCTGATGGGAGGACATGTTCAGCACAGGGGCATTAGAGCAAGGACATTTTTTTCAGCTACACCTGCTGTACATCCAGAATCCACTAGGATAACATTCTCAAACTGGGCGCCACAGCACCATGGGATGTCTTGATATCCTTTCAGGGGTGCTGCAAGATGCCACACAACGTTAGCATTGGTAGGAGTGTAAACATGATTGAAAAACCACACTGGCCTATTGTAGTCCTTCAAAGTTCTTTGTAATAGAAGAATTGCTCTAATTTTTTTTTTTTGTATTCAAACAAGGGAAGACTTGCATTTTCCAAGGGGTGCCTTGAGCCTAACAAGGTTGAGAACCACTGCACTAGGGAAACAATCCATACAGGCTGCCCCAAACTGGAGAATCAGGCCCCATGTATGCAATCCTGCCTTGCAGCTGGGCTACAGACAGAGGATCTCGATGCTTTCTCCCTCCATAAGGCTTTGAGGACCTGAAGGCAGGCTTTGCCCAAAAGTCCAAGTTAGTTCTAAAGATCTGTGAGGCTGGGCACCTGGTCATGGCCCCTCCAATATTTTCAACAGTTTCCAACTGCTTAGTTTGAAACAGTGAATGTTTCCAGCTGTCAGAAGGGGAGACTTCCTGGGTGCATCTGTCCCAGCACACAAGGGCATCACTAGTAGCGTTGTCATTGGAGCAGTACTGGGCCTGACATGCAGGCCACAGGAGGTCACACCATACAGCTATAACAGAGAGCAAGCTTATCGGAAGTGCATTAATTGGTGCGCCCACTTGCCCAGGAAGCAGCAGACATGGGTCCTAGGTCCTGCTTACCCAGAAACAGTTTGAACCCACATCATCTTTCCCCAACACAGTGCTCTAACCACCAGGTCATAAGCTAGGCCTTGCCAAGAGCTTTCTCCATCTCTCCTCTCCAAGCTTGCCTCCTTGGCAGGCAAAATAGGGAGGTAAGTGGGGATATGTGGTGATCCAAGGTTTTATCCTGCTTCCAAATGCAAAGAAGCAACCCCTGTGTTATGTAGCCATTTCAGCCACCAAATGTTAAATTAAGGGTGTGGTGGCTGGTTCAAAGGGTGGTCCTATTTTACCACTGAGAATTAAAATCCCAAACTGTATAAGGGTGAAGCAATGCAGTTACATGTGTGAACAGTACATAGGACTGGGCCTAAGAGTCCATTCCAGAGACAGCACTGTGAGATGAAGTGTGCTACCCAAGGCTGTCCAACAGATTAGTGGCAGAGTCACAAGCAGCTTTCCAGACTCTAGATTCCCAGCCATGTAGTATTTCAGATTCCCAGCCATGTAGTTTGCAGCAGGACAATGCCCTCACCTCAGAGCAGCTGGATGTGGTCAAGAATCTGTAAAGTGCTATCAGTGATTTTTCATTGTTCTTAAAGTGCTGACAACGTGCTCGACACAAAACAGTGTGGAGAACAAGTAACAAAAATGAAAAATGCTATTGAAATGCTAATGCCATGACCCTTTACTCTTGTTTGTCTCTAAATTCAAATGACTGTTTTCTTTTGCTTTTAGTGAGAATGTTGAAGAACCATCACCAGCATTGGAAGCACAGAGAGCAGGCAAATGTATGAGATTTGGATTTTTTTTTAGGGTTTTATTTATTTCCCTTAATGTCTTTACAATTGTTTATTATTTCTTTAATTCTTTCATTCCTTTAATCTCAGTGATCATTTGGATGGTGAAAGACTGTCTCAAAAATACAGTATTTTAGAGAATAGTTATGCTACCAATGTGGGGGATTTCTGCAGAACAGACAAGACAGTCATGTTTTAAAGGGAAGCACTTGACACCTGGCACGTTTTTCATTCTGTCTGGCAATTCCCTGCACAAACTTCCATAAAGAGACACTTCACTAGCAACTTGCAAAATGAATCCAAGGCTGTGCCTAATCTGTGGGTTTTGAAGAACAATCTCTTTCATATGGATTGCTGTTAGGATAGCACAATGGGGCCCTTGCTTCCACACACCCAGCACTATACAAACATGCCTCAGAGGTAGCACCAAAACACATCAAAACATAGACAAGCCTTTTCCAGAAAAAAGAGAGCATGCACTGGTTCTTCCTATGCATTGGGCATGTCTGTGTGCTTCAGTACTGCACCAGGGATCACCACAATGAGGAATGCAGTATGAGCTGTCCCTCCCCTGAAGTGGAAGTCAGGTGGTGTATGTGGATCAGTAGGCTCACCGAAGAGCTAGAGCTGACTGGATCCAGCCAGTACCATACCAATGGGTGGTTACGTTGCATCAGTTTGGGAAGGCAGCATGCACAGAAGCAGGCATGGTGTACCTCACTGCAGCACTCCCTGCTGGGGTACAATGCAGCCTAGACAGGCCCATTGGAACAAAAGCTTGCAGGACACTACTTTGCAGTGATGCTAAAACAACAGCTAAAAACATCAGTCATGAAAGTGGAAATGAGTCCCAGGTGAGCTGACTGTGGATGTGTTTCTGTTTTCAGGGATTTATGCTGACATGTGCCAGGCCTGGGATACAGAAGACTCTTTATATATGTGTGAGGTAAATATCTTGTAAAACCTTCAGCAACAGAACCCCAGGCAGTTGGCCCACAAAAAGTCTCTTGGCTCCCTCAGCTGACTCCTTGCGTTTTGCAGGCTCTTCACTATTTCATTTGGTTCTAATGTCTGCTCTGTAATATCTACACAGAGGTTGCCTCTAGCCATGCAGCAGAGTCTGTTCCCCAGCCCAGTTGCTTTATCTCTTAAGATCTTTGGCTCCAATCTTGCTGTCCCTGAAGTCAAGGGGTATTTTTCTACTGGTTTCAATGGCAGTAGGACTGAGTGCTTTTTCCTAATCTCTATCCTAACTATTGTTTCTTTTACTGTAGCCTATCATGTGTATTATGTCCTTAAAAACTAGTTGTTGCCTGTGATGCATGTAGTCTTTGTAGGCCTCCATCTTGCAAACTTAAGCATGTGCATAAAATCATGGACTTCACGTAAAGTAATATGTTACATTAGGAAACATAATTTAAGAAGGGTATTGGAATCTTTGGATGCACTGGAATGTAAATCATAAATATAAAAACATTATTACTACTGTCTATGGCAGCATTTCCCAACCTTTTTCACCACATGGCACACTTACATGCCACCCCATGGTACACCAGCCAAACATAGGGTGGAGGTGAGGGGGGAAATGACTGAACATGGAGCAGCGGGGAGTGGGTAGTGCGGTGCTTGAATCGCTGGCTGCAGCCATGCTCCCCCTCTGGCTGGCTGGGGGTGTGGCAGGGGGTATGGCTCCATCCAGGTGGGGGGGGTGGCTCCAGCCCAAAATGCCATGGCACACCTGGACTTGCTTGATGGTACACTGGTGTGCCATGGTACACCAGTTGGGAAATGCTGGTCTATGGCATTAGTGAGCTCATTACTGGATGCTTTATCTAGTTCTCATGTTCATAATAAATGGAATGCTGAAAAGGTTCATAAAATAAATATGAGATTGAACTTAGGGCTAGAAACCCTTCCTCAGTGTGAGAGACTAAAGAAGCTCTATCTATTCAACTTAAAAAGAGAGAATTTTCATACCAGAAGAAATGGGGGTTGATACAGGTATGTATGGGGAAGTGACACTGGCTAAGTTAGATGATGTACTCGAGGTCGCTCAGGAAGACTGTAACTAAGCCAGGAAATGACTCTAGGCCTCCTGAATCTACATTCATTGACCTACCCAGAGACCATTATTGCTGCCCTACCTACCATCTCTCATGTAGCACTGCAGGAAAGAGATATTAGTTCCTGACCTTCAAGCACGAAATTCTGCAGAGCCTGGCCACAGCAGAGGATCCAGTCAAGCTGGTTATCAGTGCCTGACTAACACACACCTTCATAGCACACATGGCTTATTCACTCTGCTTGTAGACTCCATTTTGGCTAAGTACAATGGCCGAGTGATTATAGGACTGGACTGGAAATCTAAAGGTGTTTCCTTGTACAAAATCAAATCCTGTCCACAGGAGAGGTTTGTTTCTTGAGGAAGGACATTGGACTAAATTACCTTAATCTTCTATTTTAAGTGACTGTTCCCTTTTCTCCACAGCAGCTGCTGCCAGTGTTCCAAAAAATGGTCTTCTTTTTTTTAAGAAGATACCAAATGCTCTGCCCAGAGTGCATTGTCTTCTCTCAAGTTGCCTATCGCACCACAGGAAATTTCGGAAAGTCGCACCAGAGATTATACCTACATGTTAAATTGTTTTAGGAAAAGTAAGAAAAATATAAATGGAGTTAGGAAAAAATGTGGTCTGGTGGAGGCTGCCAATTATACTTTGTGATCATTTGCAACTTCATTCTCATGTAGGTAAGCTCAACAAAGAGGGCAGACAGAGAAGGTAGACAGGAGGCCTACTCCATAGCGGGGAAGCTCCTTTTAGGATGCATTATTCAGAAGTTAAGGTGCACTCCCAAGCAGTTGGCTGTGCCACAGAAAGGGAGTTGGAGAAAGAGGTCAGGAGCCAGGCCAACCAGCAGCTAGTGCCACAAAGGGCCAGAGAACTCCTTGAGATAACTTGGAGATGCCACCTAGCAAGGGTGAAGAGTTAAAGCTAGCAGATAATGCCATTTGGAGATTGCAGCATTCTCCACCTGGAATCACAGGGTAATCAGAAGGGCCCTGGAATCATAGGTGCCGACATGTCATTCTTTGTGCCAGTAGAGGGAACAATTTTCTGAGTCTTTAGCTACAGCAACTGGG